TGCTAACTAGCAGGACTGCCTGTTCCTGCTTCACTGTGTCCCAGTCCACAACATCCCTATGTTGACAGCACAGAAACAAAATGGCATCCGACCCAAATGAACACAGTCTCAAGTCTAAGTCTAAATACTCGTCCTCCTTCCCCAAAGGTTGTAAGACATGATAACATTTTAGAAAGTAACTTAGTGTCAACAGACTGTGTCCTATATTGAAATGCCCTAGTTACTCTCCAGCAGTTGGTTATGCTATTTGTGGTGTGCTGGGTCAGATTGTCCCAGATGGAAAAACTAAGAGAGCTAAAAAGTAACTCTGTCAGAAGAGCTCAGCAAGACTTCCATTTTATTCTATTTTTCTAGTAGGTTTGGAGCCAAAAAGGCCCCGAGTAACTGAATCTTTGCATTTTCATGAGAAGCAAATGCTCAGTGACAGTCATAACTCACCAATCACTGGAAAAAGTCACAAACATATGATGGGAGGCAATGCTTGAAACTCCAACCAATACACACAAAACAATGAAATACCCTTTTATTTATTTATGCCCTTTATTGTAGATTAGTGAACACTGGCAACCTACATTTCCTGTTTTTGACTTAATAAAAAATTTCTCAAATAACTGCAAAGCTCAAGTCACATGTGTTCTAGGCAAAATATTCCAGGCTTCTTTACTCTCCTATTTTTCTGTTAATACCAGACACAGAAGCATGCCTCTTTCCTGTTGAAGCATATCTCTTCTGTCATTAAGTCTCTAAAATAATTTATTGCTTCAAGAGTAAGGGTAGGAATGCGGTCAGCAATTTTCTGATGAGTACAGATTGAAAGATAAACTAATAGAAGATGTAAATCCAGAACTGCGAGTAACATAAGCAAAGAGGTATGCAGAGCTATGGAACATGCCTATAGCTATATGACCTGGATCCTGCTATTAAAATTATGAAATTTCACAAACATAGTTCTAGGAAAATACTAACTACAATATTATGTGCATGTTTAAGGTGGTAATAAAACTGAAATGCAGACTAGTACAAGAATCTAGCATGATTTCAAACAACCTGATTCCTTAAAAAAATTTTTCTTCTACCTCAAATATTATTTTTCCCCCCATCAAATGAGCCTGAACAGGTCTTGTGTTTCAGTGAAATAATTCACTAACAATGCAGTTTTCATTAAAATTACAAATTTCACTTTCACCCATCCCTGTAAATATGCTCTATTTTTTTTAGAAGAGTGAAAAAGATTTCTATAAATCTCCACTGACCTATTGAAGTATATAATGTGTTTTATTTTAACACATAAACACAACAGCAACCCTCTATGAAAAGAACTGTAAGCAGAAAATTACTGGTTCTCCTTTTCAGGCACGCAGTATTTAGATTTATTATTAGTAAGATTCAAAGGTGAAAACTAAGAAAATGCCGGACATTTTGAAGGAGGGGCTAGCTCAAGCACAGGTCACATGACAGCTGCTAATTGGAAAGATGTTAAAAAGAAAAGGGGGGAAGGGCAGGGTATCTGCCTACTATTCCTTCTTTATTGATACATTTGATTTTCAGTAAAATTTTTTTAAAAGGCTAACATTTGTACAGCTCTCAAAAGAGGCCTGAAATAAACAAATCACCCCCACTGACTGAGCACAGCTGACACCCCATCGAGGCTTCCTTGCAAAAACAGAAAAAGACGGAATTTTAAAATCAAACTGTACTTCTACAGTGAATTTTAATGAAGACAGTCCAACCCGTTAAATCTTTTCCTGTTATTACATTTACAAAATTAAACACTATTTATTATAATGTATGCCATTTTATTTCTTGATCTGTCTAATGTTACTATTCAGAGAATGTTATACTGAAAGAAAGCATCTTTCCTTAAACTATCAGTGTTGCCTTTTTCTTAGAGAATTTTCAGAACTGAAAACCTTCTAGAAGGTAAGTTAAATCAAACAGTGATAGTTAAATATTGCAAATCATAGATGAGTTAATTATGAAAAGTAGGCTGTTTTTCTTTAAAATCTTTTAATGTTGTTATTTATTAGAAAAGTTGTGGCATTAATTTCTTTACAAAGACATTTCTACATCTCTACAAATATTGTGTTAGACTCCTTAAATGTATTCTTCCTTATGTATACAAGTTTTATATTTAATTCAGAATGATGAAAAACATTTTTTATGATTAATGTTAATACTTTATTGACATGAGATAGGAAAGTAATAACCCATAGCTAGCTTTAAAGTTGAATTTATGACATCATTTTAATTGTGCACATTAGTGGCAAATACCTGCACCACTCATTCTGAGCCACTAGATGGTGTAAAAAATAAAATGGTAAAATTTCATTTCATCACCATGAAATCTAAATGTAACTCTGAGAAAAATTAAACAAAGTTCTAGGCATATAAGAAAGTTATTGATTTCTATACTAATTGCCCTTAAAAAAAGTCTATCAATACATAACATCAGCTCTACCTTGCTCTAGAATAATTGCCCTAGAAATAAGCAATTATTGAATAATTTTTTGTTCTCTTCTAAGGACTTGAGTTCTGAATTTATAATAATACCAAGCATTCAAATTGCTCTAAGCATTCACATATTAAATAAATTTATGATATTAAATTTATTGGTGAAGATTATTAAGGAGCCTCCAGAGATTCCTATCTGAACTTGCCCAGAGCAAAGTGGGGAAGTAAGAGTCTTCACAAACATACAGTGAGCCCTAAAGCGACCTGACAACCAACAGCCAGGACAGCCACCAATGGCCCAGAATTCATCCAGATACTTTTCAGAGCTCTAAGTGTCCCTTCCTTTTGTACTCACCAAGATTCATCTGGTTGATTATACTAGGACTATGGGTATTTAATCATCCAGCTGATTGGGCTAATATGCTGGCTAACCATGTCTCATCCCTTCTTTCAAAAGCCAGGATAAGCTCCAGACAACATACCCATAGTGAGAAGGCTGCTCACGAATGATGCTGATGACAGAACTTGAAGCCTTGTGAAAGGCTGACAGAAGAAGGATTTTAGATCAGCCTGTACTCCACTTAGAGCATTTAGAAATTTTAGATGGCAGCATATTCTCTAAGCTGCCCACCACTAACTGTAACTCTATGATCAGGCTTCATATATGTAAAATTACAGGCTCTACAAAATGGTTGTGAGAACAGGAATTACCTCCCCCAGAATCCTGGAAGTATGGTACATACCTATGATTGTATTTTTAATTTTATATAAACAGAAAATTATTTTCTGAGGCAATGGTAGAAAGGAGATGTGCCTGTGAGAACACTGCTTGTTTCGCAGTCTGTCCTGGAGGTTGGTACTCAGGTTTGCAGCAACAGACCCCTTGATTCATAAAACAGGTTTTAAGAACAGACCTACACGTTCATATTTTACAAAGGAGTACAATAGCTATATGCCACTTGTACACAATTTCAGCTAAATTGGTGAAAGAAACTATAAGGTAACTTGAGGGATAATTCCAAGAAAGTTTCTTGGACATGAACTAAACTTGTCTGAGTTGGATTCTATATTAAGTACTTCACTCAAAAAGCTGTTGTCTTGAGGACAATTAAATGCTCAATAATAGGCTTAATGAAGAAGCAGTAATATAGCTTCCAAGACCCGAAAGCATCTTTCTTAAAAAATAAAAACAAAAACATGCTAATGAGCAGAGGACTGGGGGAAATAATTGACAACTGTCAGCTTTGAGCACCTCAACTAACAATTATTACAGCTGGCCGTATTTACTTACTAAATATTTTCCCCAATAATCTACAAGTGTTTATATAGTATTCCTTTTGGATTCTTGATGCCTCGAAGGTGCCTACCACATTGTAGGTACTTAATGACAGTTTCAAATTAAACACAAGGAAGGAAGGAAGGAGAATACAAGCACGAGAGAAAAAGAGACTGGGAGTCCTTGTCTGGGGAGTCCAGATGCCCAGTTAAGTACTGGCTCTGGCCCCTTCTTGACCCAAGCCCCTTACCTGGAAAACCAAGAATAGACAGATGATCATCACTAAGATTCCTCACTCAGATGTCCTAGGATTCTCTGTGTTATGATTTTATACACCAGCCATCTAGTGTTAAAATTCAGTAAGAGGCCTTATTTCCAAATTCTCTTCTGTATCTCACAAGCCATACTATCTTTCTGAAAAGTCCAAAATATTTCTCTAATCAAGAAATCATATTAAACTCCTGGACTTATGCTTTATATAACATTTCCTCACTTACGGATAGCTTCCATACAACATTTGTTTCTAAAAAAACCTCATCAGTAGACTGAAGGAGGTTTTTAAATCTCTATTTTACAGTAGGGAAAGTGGAAATATGAAAATTAAGGGAGCTCACATATGTCATGAAAAGTGTAATCACAGTAAGAAACTTGACCTTCAGATCTAAGGACAGAAAGATTTGGAATAATCCAGTATCTTCAGAGGGGGTGACAATGGTTTTTTTTATATATAAAGATGAATTCATAGCAACATATGCTGCTATTGTTTACAAATACAGTTATGTTAAGCTTAAAAAAAATTACCTAAACCTGTCTGAATAGAAAAAGCATTGCTTTTAAATTGTCGGAACATGAATGTATTTATATAAAGATGAAAAACTTGTTCTATAAACACAGTGTTTCCAGTAGTGAATAGCAGACAAAATCAGAATAAGCACACAGAAGAATAAAAAGGAAAAGGAAAGAAAAACATAATAAATAACCTAATACCTTACAATGTTAACTTTCACAGAAGTATATTGTTTCAAGAGAAGGCAGTGTGTGGATGTTAGCCAAAGGTAAACACACTGTCAAGTTGAATCCTGTTATCTGATTGTGTTTAAAATTCGATTATATTTCACTTGACAAAATAATTAATTATTGTGAACCCGCAATTGTTAACAAGGACCTTAAAGAATTCCAACTGGCACTTTTCCCCAGTGCTGTAAGTCCAAATGCACAAAAATCTAGCATTGCATCCATCCTTTACAGTTTTCATTTGAGGATGTCTTTTTACCTTGCTAAGAATGTAAATCACATCACCACGTTTAAATGACAGCTCATCAGAAAGAGCTCCTGTGCAGTCCCACAAACCCTGGTAAAAATTAGCATAATCAGTGCTTTTATCTCCTAGGAAGAAGAAAGAGAAAACGTGAGTCAGACCTTTAATGCAATGGGCCCTCATTTAAAAATAAACCAATAGATATGAAGGACCTCCCCAAGCTCCCAAAATAATCTGAAAAAAAAATTCTGTTCTGATTCGAAGAACACTTCATTACACCCACACAAGAATCCTACTTCTTACATATATAATTAAGGACCATTTTCTAAAAGATCTGATTTTGAATGTTTGTTTTCTTTCCCTTCTTTTCATGTTTTCATCAAAAACCTGTAATTGCAATGTGTTCTTATCAAGTAGCACATAAAAGTTCTTTCCCACTTATTTTTTTATAATGAACCAAAGCCCACTTGCAACAATTTTTGGAGAAGATTCAGCCACATTGCATAATGAGCAATATCCGTGAGATGTGATAAACATACTGTAAAATAACCACCTTACAGAATCGGGACACTTCATAAAAATAACAATAATAATAATAATAAAAGAGCCAAGGTACAAATATAACCTGAACTAGGAAACACATTTTATTTTTTTATTTAAAACCTAAAGCTGGTTAAAGGAAGAAGATAAAGTAGAAATAATATAAAGGGTAATTCCAGCTGTTATCTTTGAGGACTTTGGTACTCTAAGCCTCTCAAAGTTATTTCTAAAATATTTTAGCAACTTTCAAATTGCCAATGCTGAAGCTACACTTCTCAAGATTTCTGTCAGCCCTAGTTTCAGACATGAGGCTCTGAATAAACATGCAACATACAGTGGAGTTATCAGCTCATCCTTCTAACAGCATAAGCACAATGGATGTGATGTGCTCAAACTGCCATACAGACCATTAACTGATTGATTATTTAGCGCTCTCCGCTCTGTAATACCACAATAAACCGGGTAATAAATGCTTTGTCACTTATACAATGGGAGTCTCTTGAAACACAGCACAGAGTTAAACACACTGGATCCTTTTGTTATGCTGAGAACTGTTTGCTGTTTTTAATTTCATGATAATTGAGTTTTGATGAGTTAACACAAAAAGTACGCAACGAGTATCAGTATGATGTCCGTGTGTGTTCACTAACCAGGCAGAACATGGACGTGCTGACAACTTCCATCACTAGAATGTCATCTTTAAATTCTGAGGGGATAACTGTGGAGCCACACGCTGGACCAGGGCTGTCATCTTAGTTTTGTTATATGGCTCTCAAACAGCAGGCTCCTTGGTAATTCCAACACAACTAGTCACATTAGCATGTCATTAGGGTGTGCATCTTACTACACATAGTTTGTGATTTACACACAGTGTTAAGTTAGAAATTTTTAAAATGCTCTTTAATATATGAAACATTTTTTAAAGCCAAAAACAAAATCTGACTAATACAGAGTCTGAATATTTCAGAAGATGATATTTTTCAATTATACTTGAAGAAAATAAAGGACGAGAATACACAAGCCAGCAAAATCCTCCCATTAATTTTTTTCTCCTATTTTCTAAAAATAGAAAAAGAGAGAGAAGAATGGAGAGAAAATGGGAAAAGGAAAGAAAGGAAGGAGGGAGGGGGACAGAGAGAGACAGACACCTACTGACGTCTCCACTCCAGCATTTGAGTACTTGTCACCAATGCCAGCAGGGATGTGTACAAGCCTGTAAATCCAAACAAGAACTAACAATGCTTGTGGCCGCCCTTCATTCCACTTCACCCCAAGGCACGTATGAGGTAAATTCTATAAATGGACACTAGAGGGCACTCCGGCTGGACAGATCATTTCAAACGTCAATTTTTTTTTTTTAGAAAAAATTACTTAATAATAAAGTGACTGATTTCCTTTAAAAACCACTTATTTAGACAAATAGAGATTTAGAAGTTGAAACATTCTAGTCAGATTAAATCAACTGTTAACTGGGTCAAATGTTGTGCCCCATGCAGTCCGTCAGTGTCAGTTTAAAAGTCAAGGAATTAGAGCAAAGAGAGGGTGACGTCATTTCACAGGCAAACCCTCCCCCACCATCGCTGGCCAGGAGGTGAAAGGAGCTCGACAGCTGGTTTCCCCAGTCGAGGTTCCCGTGTGGTCCCCATGCTGCTCGGCCTTACACTTGATCCAAAAAGTTTAAAGGAACAAAACTTGGGCTAAAATCTAGAGTAGAAGTTAAGCTTAGCTACAGCATCCCAGTGGGCTCCTAGCTGTCCAGCTTGCTGCCTGCCCTTTCTTTCTCTGATCACCTCACGATAGTTTTCATTCAATAGACTTTCAAGAGGTAGGGGAAAGAAGGAAGGAAAAGGAAAGTACATAGTGATTTCTAACACATAATCCTTTTCACTTTGGGGTCTCTTCCCCTCGATGCGCTTGGTGAAACTCCCATTAACACTAATGGGAGTTACAGGAGCACAGGAGGGGAAGAAGACCCCCGCTGGGCGCGAGATGCATCTCTCCCTAGATGTGCATCGTGAGCATTTCATTAAATCTCACTGCTGTAAAGAGGCAACAGAGCTAGCGATCTGGCAATACTAGGAAAAAGATGCATTTTCTACTGTGCTTTCTATGATCTTGATGATGATGTTACCCAAAGACTAACCTCATTTCTGTGTCCCATAAGTGAGCTCTGCTCAAGAATACTAAGTTGTTCATGTCACATGGCTACATGTACATACAATTTACTATTCTATTTCAGTGTGCAATACTAGTTATAAAGCAGAAGAATCACATAGGGAGAAAGCCCGGCACTACATGTTTATTCGCCTTAGTCTCCTCAGGAAAGTCATGTTAAAATTCTGTGTATGAATGCTAGACATAAAAATTGGGAACTAACTTGTTCCTCAGAAAGCAGCAAGGTCTTCTGGTTTACTTTATAAAATTTTAGGTGTGGCAAAACATATTAAGAAAAATTTCTCATAGATATACCCTCAGAAGCACAGTGGGTTCATAATAATTAGCACTGTTTATCTATACAGTGAAAAATAATCCATGTAAGATATATTTTTAAGAAACAACAACACAACAAAAAAAAATGGGATGAGGCACAATGTCACAGACCCTGGATAAACGTACATTCTGAATGCAGTGAAGTCTGTTTGGTTGTCTTTACTGCATGGATTAATTCCCCTATTATATTCACATCATGATCTATGTTTTCAAAATTACCCCCCCCCCAAAAAAAAATCACCTCATTATGTTTCTTGCCCTGAGAGGCTTGAATGCTTAAAAAAGAAGGTAAAAAAAAAAAGTATCTAAATTAGGCAGGCTGTGAAGGATTTAGACAATGTACTTGTTCCTGTTTTTGAAAACATATAAAAAACTGATCATTGGGCAATAATAAAGATTTGCTATAAAAGTATGAACCAAATATTGGCTAAACTTTTCCAATAATGAAAAGATTTTAAGAATACGATGACAATGTATGAAACATACAATAATAAGATAATGGAGAATCTCTCCTTGAATAGTGTTAGAGGTTGAAAAACTATTTTGGTAAGGTAAGCATATTTTACAATGTTAAAAAAATAAAATGGAATCTTTATTCTATATATAATAAATATATAAAATACATAAGCTTGAACATGAAAGAACCTGTAAGAAACACAAGATTAATTTTGTTTTTGCTTACATATTTTACATCAGAGTAGTCTCAATTTTTTTTCTTAGTAAAATCAGTCAATGTGAAAAATATGTAACATTCTTGAGTAAGGTTAGAAGTTCACATCATGTGATGCTCAGCAAGATAGTAATACCCCTGTCAACTCACTGCCCTGCACAGCAAACAAACTTCTAGTGTTACATCTTTGACAGCCTAGGGAGAGCAAAGGTCACTACTATGCAAAAGCATTAAAACTGTTGCTTGAAAAGAATTTCATGTCACTGAAGATAAGAATTATTGCAGTGCTTTATAGCTATTGCATGAAAAGCTCAATCTACTTGTTGCATTCCTTTGAGGAAAAAACTGATTTTTTTTCCTTCCCTTAAGGCAAAAATTTGGCAGATAGTTACTTTAAAAGGGTTTTTGAAAAATAGTTGCTTTAAGCTAATACACTTATATTGGCAGCAGGAATATCTGCATGTCTACCCTCTATACTTGCACTGAAATTTTAAAAAGAAAAACTATATGCGTTTGGCAGAGCTTTATGATACATAATAAAATATGTATATTTAAATTACTATTGAACGTGGTCCTCAGGTTTCCCTCAGCCTTAGTGTTTTACAGCTGTATTTACTCCATCCATACAGGGACTGGAGTGCTAACACCTAATGATTTTGTCCTCACTTCCTTTCTGAAAAAAAGCAAACCAAAACCTTTTTAGCAACCTGCTCCTGCCTTCCTGTCCAGGTCCGGAAATCAGGCCTGTTTCCTTTCCACATGTCACAGTAGGAAGGACTCTGGAAAGCTCCTTCCTGAACACACACTTCTTGTCCACCCTGGCTCTGACAGCTTGAAAGAGTGATGTACACACATATCAGAGGGGGACGTGACCCCATTTATAGCTCTTTGCAGGACATGGGATGATATGGCAGACCTTGCCCCAGCTGACATGTGGCTATGAAGAGGTGTAAAGTCCTGATAAGAAGGCGGTCCTTCTCTTCTTTCCATGTAAAATAATTGCTTGTTTATCAAAACTAACCTCATGCTTGCACTACAGATATGGTTTATCTCCTGCTATTTGGAAATAACAACTAGCAAGAAAACTTGCTCATATCATGTGATTTTGTACATAGCATGTGTAGTTATTTTTCCAGTCTTAGTCATAATTAGTACTTGGGGCCATGTGCCAAGTGGAAATGGATAAGGAGAATATCCTTCCTAGCCTTCTAGGCCACAAGTGTCCTTCTCCAATTTTTGAGCTGCTGTCACTGGATGGGCATTTCTTACCCAATTCATTTGCTTTCTGCGTTAATCATATGCAATGAAGATACGCATGGCCAACATTTAAACAGGCTGCAGATCAATTAGCAGTCTTAACTTTATCTGATTTTTATCAAAGAAGACAGAGCTGTGGGTCGATTGTCAGAGCCTGTGTCAAGTTGACCTTTTCAGAGATGTCTACATTGCCAGTCCCCTGGGCAACTTGTCCCCTGTTAGTCTCTGAATGGCAGAAGTCTGTTCTGCTCAAGCACAAAGTATACACAGATGTCTATATTACATTCTTATAGGTTTGACAGCAACTGCATGTTGTATCTATAAACTGTCCTTTACCAGTGACACTTCCTCAATGATGATAAGCTAATTTATGCAACTAAATCTCCTTTGTGCAGAAATGAAAGCTAATTGAGTCATTACAAAGTAATTCAGGAAGGAATACCTTGTATAAATTGGCTTACTTTATAAATCCTTCTCAAGTGGTTTTCATGCATCCTAAATGGGACTAAGCAGCTTATCAGCCATAAGATACCAGATCGAATAAGCCAACTTCAGGAGCTGTGTAAATGTCTTTAGAGCAGTAAGAAAGTGACTAAAGGGAAAGTGAACAAAACCAAAATAAGCTTTCCAGGAAGCTACCCAACCCATTACCTGTAATGTGATGAACACTGTCCTGACTCATCTTCCTCTGTCCCTCTACTTTCTCTGGAGCACTCTCCTCTTCCTCTTCTGTGAAGAAAGAACATACATGGCACACTGAAGGGATAACAATACAGTATGCACCCCATTTTAAGAGCAAAACTAAAAGTTCATAACGTGAATATTGCAGAAAGAATGAAACCACTCAACATTTGCATTCCTTTTTCAATAATCTAAAGGCTGAACAAATAAACCTCCAGCTATTTCCAAATAGCAACCTTACCAGTTGCCTTGATAAAATTTAAGATATGTACTAATGCTTCACATATTTCATTTTAAATACTATGGAATCTCATCTGGAACAATCTTAAATCCAGTAAAATGACACCCAGCACTATACAGATAGGGCACATTATACAGTGGCAGGACTATCACAGATAAAATCATGGCCCCTAAAACATCAATACAGCAAAGAGAAAAATAATTGGATATAAATGTGGATACAAAATACAGTTAACTTATGAGTTATTTATTGAGTATCAGATATTTCATATGTTTTCTCACTCGATCTTCCCATGAAGATAACAGAAGGATCCTCACCCTTCAGGGTAATTCCCCCCAAATTATACTGAGGACCTACTATGTATTATACACTATGGCAGATGTTAATAGTTCATAGATGAATATTTTTAAATCTTCATTTTATAGATGAGTAAATTGAGGCTCAAAAAAGGTAAGGAAATGTCCAATGTTTGTTATTATAAAGTCCATGTTCTTTATCTTATATATATTCAGTGCTTTACCTACATTATTTCCACTCTCCCATCACATTTCTTCTCCATGTTATAGGAAGAAATATGGTAAGATTAAATGAGAAGAGTTTTAACGGTTAGTAGATTATTTAATTCTTTTACATTAAAGAAACATTTATTATATTACCACTTTAATCACCTAAGGATCTGTATATTTGGAAGTATTTAAGGCGGGAACATGAACGAATTGGCATGCCAAAGAAAAATTGGGTTCAAAAAGAATCAAGAAAAATCTAAAATGTTCAAGAAAAATACACAAAATAAATAAACATAGCCAGTCTGACTATTAAATGATCCAACCAACAAATCTTCACTGAGTATTAACCACTGTAAGAGAGAGAGGTTCTCCCAAGGAGGCAAGGAGAGTAGGGAGCTTCTGCCTTCAGGAAGCTGACAGCCTAGAGAGGACAGAGACTGGAGCTAAAGGAAAATGGGACAAGGGTCATAAAAGCTGCCAGGTGAGACACATGGCACTCAGGAACGCACGGGAGAAACTGCTCAACTGGGGGATCCCATGAGGGCTCTGAGAGGAGGAGAGAACTTGAATAAGGAGAGATGAGAAGGAGGAAATTTCCAGACAGTGGAAGAAGTACGACCAAAAGAAAAAGGCACAGTCATATCATTTTGGCTAAAGCATGGCACTCATAGGGCAAAAACGGGATGGGAGATGATGCCACTATAGTTTGGGCCAGTTGTGGAAGGGTGACAAACATCCTAAGGACTAGGCTTTCATTTGGTGGGCAATCTAGAGCCCCAGAAGGTTTGAGCAGAGAAAGGGCGGGGCTAAAACTATACTTAGGGAATGGTCATCTGATCCCATTGTCCCAGACAGCCTGGAGGAGGGGCATGGGGGAGACCACTGGGAGTCCAGCTAAAGGGGAAGGAAGTCCTGAACTGAAGGGGCAGAGGAAATGGAGAGGACGTGGCTATGAGAGGTAAAGGAACTAGAATCGATAAACTTTGTGCTGACTGGATGTGGAGGGCTAAGGGGAAAAAAGAGCAATCAAAGATGACTCAGGTTTTGAGCTTAGTTGAGAAATGGGAACATCATTATGAAAAAGAGAACAGCTGAGATAAGATACTTTGAGGGGAACACAAGCAGTTGTCTTTCTGACATGAGAGATTTAATATACTGGTGAGGCAACCCAGAGGAAATGTCAGGGGCAACTGGGAAGTGTCGTAGACGAGTCAGGACAGCAGTAAATTTGTAAGTCTCATGCAAATTTTATAGTGGTGATTAATAAAAACCAGCACTTAAACCAAGCTTAAGAGTTGCTGTACTTATAAAACAAATATAACTCTTTTGAAGTTTTATAACTGAATTCAAACAAAATAATGAGAGCTTCAATAAAGGAACAGCTGGAAATATATGTACGTCATACATATTCAGTTGAACCTAATACTGGCAATTTAATATGGTTCAAATAGTAATTAATGTATGGAAGACCTAGTGAAGAGTCTGACACTAAATCCTCTCTCTCTTCTCTTCAACAGCAGTCATCTCACTCACGGCAAACCTCAAGGACTAGTTACCCTAAATAGGCTAATGTTTTTCATTCAAATTTTAAAAGTATTAGGGACATTTACAGTGAGTTAGTCCAACCTACTCATTTTTTACAGGTGCTTAATTTTCTAAAAAGTGAAGGAGAACACTTTCCTTACTTTTCACACTTTCTCTTTCCCAAGCACTCCCTCTCTTCCCATTTGGTCATAAATTCAGCAGTAAGAAGTAAATTCCAAAGTAGTTAAAGGCACTTGTCCTCAAGTCAAAAGCCATAACAACATCAATAAAGGAAGCACTATTCTTGGCTCTTAAGAAGAGACTCTGGGATTTGGACTCACCATCCAAAGTCAATATCAAGATATCATAAAGAGCAATTATAGTAATTAAGTAGAACACAGTTAACAAAGAATTTAGAAGCACGTTACTATGAATTCTTTCATTAAAATTTAATTGCTTATAATGCGTACAATGTATTGTTGAATTACCAAAATATTTACTTAAGTATCAGTACTTACTGTGAAGTATCCAAACTGAAATCCATGTGAGATGCTTAATAGTATTTCAGAGTATGAGACACTCATTAAAAACACTTCCTTTCTTCATTTCAACTTAGTACTGATATTTTTAGGTCAAAGCCTTCTGCATTTCATACATCAATTTTTCTTCACAATATTCAAATGGCTCATTTTATCTTGGGCTAACAGTACAAACAGTTCCCATATAAAAGATAATAAAATCAAGTTTGGTGTGTATGTGTGTGTGCACATGCTTTAATCTTAGGAAAAAAGACTGAATCTTGAATAGAATCTGGTACAAGGGAGATGTTCAATAAATACGAGTGGACGAATGGATTCAAAAATCATGAAAATAAACCCTACTATATTCATTTATTAACAGAAAACCACACTACTCAAAAAATATGTAAGGACAAGTGATGAAAATTTTAGGCAATAATCACTTTCACAATTTATTAGAAATATACACACATGTTGTTTTATTTATGTTTATTATTAAACATACTTTATTGCAGTGTTGAGTCACAATGTCATTATACAATACTAATTAATACCTCAAATAGTCAATGTTTGTGGGTTAATATATTCCACTCAACATTTTAATAACAGTAAACAAAAACAGCTCAGCTATGCAGTAAAATCCATCAAACCACACAGATGGTTATAAGATTTTCATTATGTGGTTTCCATAGCAATCATATTGCAAATCTGGAAGCTTCTTGCAAATAAGCAGCTTGTATTTACATGCCTCTCAGCTGCAGCACAAAACTCTTCAACATGTGAAGTTATTATTCCAATCACATGTTGTTAGAAGAATCATCAGGAGATTTTTTTTATCAGACAAGATGAAAATAGCAGTAAAGTAAACTAATTGCAGAAGATAATCCAAACATAGCTATACATTTACTAAACCAATCAGTGAGTATTAGAAATCTTCTGGTAGTCACTGAAAGGTTTTAATGTTAAGCCCATCAAACATATGAAGCTTTCAGGAGCAATCAGACCCTACAGAATAAAAATCTTGAACTCTATTCTCACTCTTCTTTTCAACAGATATTTAGCCTACTTTCTGAGTTGAACAAAGAGAGGAAGAATAGCCAAGAACTGAGTCTTCCTAAATCTTTTTTCAGGATGACTACCATTTGAGAAAATGCTTTCCTGTGAGAAAAGTCAAGACCCCCTTTTTTTTTGTTAGGTTAATCAATTTAATTTACAAATTGATCCAGTTCCATAACAGATGGATTATTACCCTAATAAGGGGTAAATTACCAAAAAAGAAAAGTGATAAGTAATTAACAAGTGAACTGACATTGCTTGAAAAAGGCTGTTTAACAATAAACATAACTAAAACACCATGTGTGTATATCTCTGATATACTGTGAAAGTGATTATTGCCTAGAATTTGCTGCTAACCAAAACAGGCTGTGTGATGTTCACATAGGGCTGAAGACTGATTTTATCACATCTTCCAGGGTGAAGAGGACAGCATAGGAAGATCTTTGACTCAAAAGATGACTACCTTTCTCCCAAAAATCCTTCAGAGAACAGTTTATGAGTTACAATGTATTTTAAAAGACATAAAACACAGAATCAAAAGTTATGCTCTGAAATAAAGCTTGGGTTTAGATATCTACCTGTCCAGGCTTCATTTGATTATGAGACTATACATTTGTCTCAAGGAAAGTTAATATTTATTGCTTAGTTACTCATGCTATTTGCATTTATATCCACTATGTAACTAAATCCTCATAACAATTCTATGAAGTAATAATGGCACTTTGTCATCATTCTATGGGTGCAAAAATGAAATTTACAGATCTTGAATAATCTGTTTAGGTTCACACATCCAATTAGAACAAGCGCTGAGATTTAAACTTTAGCATGCACAATTAAAGCCCCAGTTCTAAGCCCCAGTGCTACTTCCTTGATTTTCATTGAAATACTCAGTTTATGGATGGGTTGTTTTCTAAAATTTCATTTGAATAGTGGCTGTCTGTAGACTTGGAAAGCATTTTCACGTAGGTGGGTGGGTTCTATCCTACCTCAACATTGCATCTGAAGTACATCTTAGGTTAAGCCATCCTTTTAGTGGTGATTTAAAAACAGAATTTTAAGTTGGAGTGTCTGAAACATGTATCTTCTCCCTTCTATTCTTCCAGCTCTCCTTCCCCACCTCTGAAGTCCCCACACTCAAGTGCCCCTAAAGCCAGCACATAGTATTTACTACTTTGTAAAAGCTTCTAATGCAATTCAAAATTG